GGTTTGAAATCGAGCAGATGGATCAGCTATGTCAAGACAAAAGGCATCGATTTTCTGCATTGCCATGGCTGGATGGACTCCAGCAGCATCACCACCCCAGGTTGTCGGTTCAATAGCAGAAATGATCTGTCCCTATTGCCATTTAAAAATTATTCAGTTTTGTTCGGTTCATCTGACTTTAATTACAGTTCAAGTAGATCTGTGCTTTCTTTTTGCTAGTGAGAAGGGTCAGCATTATTCCTTTTATTTTGTAGTGGAGAGTCACACAAAACTTGGTTATTTAGAAGAATGTGAGACAGATGCTCCTCTCTGACATCTTCAGATCTTACCAGCAAGCAGCTGTCAGGCAATACAGATGGATAAGTGCGTCCTCTGTGAATGGGATCAGTATTTCCCTGATAGACATATCTCTATTTTATGTGGATGGACTGAATAGTAAAATTAAATGTCTTTGTGTTTACTTAGACAGAAATCAGGGGGGAAAAGACACGCTCGCTCATTAACTCTGTATTTGATTTAGGAGCAGAGGGGTTGTCACAGTTAAGACCCTGAAAAGCTGCTGTAGGTGCATGATATCCCAGTCTTGTTAATTTTAGAGAGAGTTAGGTGTATGGATCGCTCTGGCTCACTTGAGCTTTTCAGCCTCCATCTTTTGTTGCCCTGATGTGTATTTGTATGTCAGAAATTGATGATAGCAACAGTCAGGAGACTAGTTGAATGTGGTTTATTTGGCGATGCCTTTGTGCATCTGGACACACTGTTCCAAACTACCTTCATGGAAGTGTGATCTTCAGTACAATTCATAGGGCCTAAGTCCAACCACCAGCCTGACTCCTTCAAAAATACAGGCTATCAGTTTCCAACTTCTTACTTCACCTTCAGGAACGGACCTGCATTGACCCTGAAGCTTTAGAGCAAAAAGAACCGCTACTTCATTTGCTGATCATCTCACTGCTATGTTGGTTTTGTTGTGGCTTTTTTTTAAAAGCCATGCCTACTAGATGTCATCAGTGGGACTGCCTTTTTCCTTTGGAATTTGGCCCAAATTCTTCTCTTCTGAAGTTCTTGATTCTGGAGGTTGGGGTTGTGTGTACTGTTCCACTTTTGTGCACCCGCTGGTATAATTTAGTAAATCTGTCATTTATGCTCAATATAACAGAGTCATTTAACTGCAGGAGCTCACCAGTACAATTAACCCTCTTCCGTCAAAACGAGTTGCTGATTATCTTGGCTGTTAGAGTGCTGCGGTTGCTGGCCCTCCCGGAGCAGTATTGCAGTCAATTGATTATTTTGTTAATTTGTTCTGCATCAGTATCCCGCTGGTTTATTATCATCCAAGTGACTTTATGCACCATGCATAAGTACAAGTATATGAAAAATCAATACTTGAACTTTTTTTCCTTGTAAAGATCTTACCATCCATGGGCTACCTTCTTTGATGTATGACCTTCATTCTGATTACAACACAGCTAGTAACTTTTACATTATTTAGTCACGTGCTAATAAAGTAGATGCTCAGATTTTGCTCTCTACTTAGTTCTGTATCCTAAGAAAAAGGAAAAAATGAATTAAGAATGAAATAAACAAAAGGCTGTTATTGCTGATAATGAAGCCTAATTTTGAGACTCTGAAATTCATGCTATTTTAGTAAGAAAATCTCGTTCCTTCAGTAGGTTCGAGTAAGTATCATGCTTCACAGGCTCAAATCATTTAGAGATGCTATTATCAGAAGCCTGAGCCTTATGAACACAGTTTTTCTTGCTTCAGTAGAGAAACAAGTGTTTAAAAGATGGCATAAGGTTGTATTGCGCATTGGATTGAGGGCTAGATTCCAGGTCAGAACTTGACACAAATACATGGGATTATGGCCGTTATAAGATCAGAATGTTTTCCAATTATTTTCTACCATTGCACACACAATGTTCTCTCTTGTATGCAAATTTGAAACATATCACCTGTGACGTGATACTTAATGCATTTATGTTGCTGACGTCACAGGGAGGCCTGCTCTTCTTTAAGAAAAAAACCGTAAGATGGAAGCTGAATCAGATGCAGTCCCTCTCCTGATCTAGACTAGGTATGAAAGCACAAGTTCCCAGCTCTGGAAGAACCACCATCTTTCCAATGCAGATACCTCAGAAGACAAGGGTTGTCCCAAGGCAGCTAACTGCAGCCCTAAATGGGCAGTTCTCCACTCAAATCACTGGATTTGCATCATCCTTTTCCAAGCTTGTTCTATTGGGGATTTTTTTTCTAGAATATAAGAATGTTATATGATCTTGGGATCATTGTTTTCTAGACACGTTTTCATCAGCAGAAAGGCAAATTCTTACATCATGCTGGCTAAGATCCTTATACAAGGCAACTGAATGAGGCAATTAGTAGCTTATGTGAGAAGCTACCAAGGCCTTACCCAAACCTTTTAACTCATTTCATGATGGAAACACCTGATCTTTTCTGGATGCGATTGGATGAGTTACCATCACTTGTGAACGTGAGGAAAAACCCCTTGTTTCTGTAGTGAAAAAGCATCCTCAGAATTTCTGAGGCTGTTACATCTGCAGATGGTAACATCCTGTACACCTTTTCTCCATGTGAAATATTCAGAAAACAGCCTACACAGTGGATTTAGTTCAGAGAAAGTTATACCTCCTTGTCCCAGGAAATTATAATGTAATGTAATATAATATACAAAAAATAAATTAATTTTATTGTGAAGATGGAACAAATCAGACAAATGAGATGATCCTGAAGAGGGAAACCAGCCTGTGCTATTTCTGCAAATTGCTCCCCCACTTCCTCCAGGTTGTCTTAAAGAAAAGCCAGGGCTCTGCAGCATTGCGTTTTAATTAGTAGAAATCCTTTTGTACTAAATCCTAATTCAGTGCCTTAATGCAGCAAGTCCTGCAGAGCCAGCAAGCTTGCGTGGGAGCACAAACGCATGAAATCTTTTTCTCTGGCATCCCTCTAAGTGAGGGTTGGCTTCTGTTCATAATTATTTTCTGTAGTGACAGCTCGGGGTTTGCGGTCGCAAGCAGAGAAGCAGGGGTGGTAACGGAGGAAGGCATAATGACAGGTGATTGCTCTGTGGTCTCCATGGCATCACTAAGCCTTATCTTGGAGGTATTAAACGGTGTGCTTATATCTTTCTTTACTCTGTACAGATACCTGGCGCCACTAAGTACACCTAGTATGGGTCCTACTTAATCATTGTCCTTTTTTCCAGCTTATTTTGTATTAGTTTTTTTTCTTTATTTTCAGTCTGCTCTGCTTTTAATGAATCTGTGCAAGTAATGGAAACACACATATAAATGAAAGGACCTACCAATTCAATATTTTATCATTTGCTGCCTTTAGTTAGGGAGTTAGAATTCATACAAGAAGATTTTTAGAAACATTTGATACTGCCTTTTCAGGGCATGCTTCCCCATCCTGCTCACTATGAATTGGTATTAGGTTTTCAGGGTTATAATGATGCAATATAGCTGTGAGGAAAACAGCTTTTAGCCCCCATCAGTTAGATCCCAGTTTCATCTCAGCCTTACGCATCTAGTGAGATGCACTGTCTTTTGAGGCTCTTGCTTTAATTAACAGGGACAGAAGGACACCTCCAAGAATGACTCAACTGACCTAAGATCTGATTTAGCCTTCTCCTCTCCTGATTTTGACTGACGCTACACAAGTTACTGCAACACAGTGGTATAACTCCTGGATATGTCATCCTGATCAGAAATGGCAAAGCCACACAGGTTCTTTGAATTACTAGATGTATTTAATAACCATGCATTTTTTTTCAAGAAAATGCCTAAGGAAATATTAGGGGGTTTGCTGCCTTCTTGCTGCACCTCAAGGTGTACTCAGTTGATGATTTTAAGCATTCCTTTGGAATGCTTAAATTCCTTTTTTTTTTTTTTTTAGTAATTTTTTTTGTTCTTAATGCTGGGACTCTCACTATCTTGGTTCCAGGTGTTAGGCCTTAGAGTACAAAAAGAGGATGCCAAACTTGACAGCACTTCTGCAAGGTCTAGGAATATGTTAGCACGTACTCTAACAAAAATTACAACCGTTCCATGATCTCCTTGAGGAGTGCTCTTTTACACGGATACAAATAAAATTATTATGGTCTGATATTTGTAGTTCCTGCCTCCAAAGATAGGTGTGTGTTTAACTTTTCTTGTTTTCTACAGTGCTTAGTTAAATGGTTTAGTGGATTTGCTGTTCATAAAGGAAAAAAACTATGGCTACTTGTGTTTCACAACCAGTATTTTTATATCTTACACTTTAGCTAGTCCGGTCAGTTTAGTGGCTTTTTTGCCATTTAGTTTTTCTTGCCAATGTATTTATTTATCATTTATTTATTGCAGGGATAATCCCTGAAAACAGATCACTCTACAAGCCGTGCTTTTGAGAACCTCAAGAGTATGATGAAAACACACAATCCCAGATATTTTTCTCCCAGCAAATCTCTTTGAAGGAAAGGCTCTCTAATACTCTGAAAATGCCCTGCAGAGAAACCTGAAAAAGTAAAAGCATGGTTGAGACCCACATCCTTATTTTACCAAAAGCTTGTAGCTTGGAACAGTGACACACTGGGAATTAGTTAAATAATTTTAGCTTCTAACAACAATGGTGTTTTGATATTGGTGACTATGAAAAAGAAAAGTATGGCAAGAAGATCCGTGACACTAGTGAAACTTGAATAGAGACTTTTTCTTACACAAATTCTCAGGTGTCTAAAACGTGTTCAAGCTGTAGCTTTCCTGGAGATAGAACACTTCTGCACTTCTCCCCCACATAGCCACTGTGGCAGTCCTTGAGCTCTCTATGTCTTTGCAAATTTTGACTGAAATCAGCCACAGGTTTAGAATTTGCAAAGGAATGACATGGACGCAAATAATGTGATTTCATAATCCTTACCTGTCATGAAAACAAGGCTAAAAAAATGTTTATATCTGTGGTTAAGAATGTTGAGCTGAAGATGTAAAAATTAACCTTTGCAGGTTAAGAAAGCTGTGCAACAGGAAGGCTTCAGCAGAAGGAAGCGAGGATATAGAGACATCAATGACATTGACATCAACATGAATGATCCTTTATTTACGAAGCAATGGTACCTGGTAAGTTTTGAAAGAAAATCACAGTAATCGTAACTAAAGAATTGGCATTCAAGCCATTCTGTGCTGTTGCAGTGTTTTGCAAGAGTTCCTTCCAAATATGTCACAAGAACTTGGGAATGGATCCAAGGCTCTGTCCTGTTGTTCTTAACTGTACCTCTTCTATGCTGGGAAGACCCAGCACATTTCAAGAGCTAAATTTCATTTCAGTCAATGGAAAAATCCTTAGAAGGCTTGAAAGAGAACTGTGTTGGTATCCCATGGGCATT